ATAAGGTGAGTGCGGAAGGGTGGTGGATGTACTGAGGTGATTTTGTCCGCAGAGTGGACGTGGGGTTGGAGATGCACGGGAGAGTGGGCGTGGGGCAGGAGATGCGACACGGGAGCGGGGGCAGGGCACGACCGTCGTCGCTGGAGGCAGCGCATCGACAGCCTCGGAGGCGAGGAGTTTGGGGGGAGGATGCAGGGGGCGCGGGTCCGCTGTGGGCGTACGGTGCAGGGAGGGCGCTGTCGCCTTCGGGTGCGGGACCGGGACCGGGGCCGGGACGGGAGGCGTTCGGGTTCCACCCGCAGAAGGCTCGGAACGCAGCAGCCGTGGCGGCGGCGAAAGTGGAGAGCAGCGGACTGGTGGTGGCTCCGGACGGGACGGTGATCAAGGCAGGGGGCGGGGGTCAGGGCGGGCTGCGAGGGCTGGGCGGGAAGGGGAGGGGAGGCGGGTTTACGGGGATGGTGGGGGACATGGGGTCGAACGGGATGATGGGCGGAGTGGGGAACGCGGGGCTGGCGCATCCGATGAGGATGGGAGGGGATGTGGATTTGAGGGGGAGGGAGTGCCTGGGCGTGGACGCGAGGGTGGCGGGGGGGATGGGGATGGGGTCGCACTGCGTAGATCCGGCGCTGCGGTTCAAGGGGGTGGGCGAGAGGTTCGGTCCCGGTCCCGGTCCCGGGCTGCCTCCCGGGGTGGGGAGTTCGATGGGGCGCGGGGGGCCGGGAATGATGGGCGGGCCGGACCGGAGCAGATTCACGTGGACGCGGGGAGATGGACGGTTCGCGGGGTCAGTGGAGCAAGACGAGAGGGGGATCTCACGGAGGCGGGTGCGGTGGAGGCCAGGGCCGCCGGGGAGGCGAGCGCAAGATCCCGGGTGGGCGCAAACCACCAAGATCGATGTCGAACAACGAGGAGGCGGGGGAGGAGGCGGGAGGAGGGAGCGAAGCGCGGAAGAGCAGAAGTGCGCACGGGAGCGAGGCGAAAGTGGAGGGGGAGGGTGCGAGTGTGGGTGCGGGCATGGATGCGGAGGGTCCCGGTGGGCAGCAGGGGGCGCCGTCACCTCCGAAGCTGCCGCTGCCGCCACCTCCCCCGAGGGCGCAGAGGTCTCCGCCAGCGGGTCTGAAGCGACTGCTGAACAACAAGAGGGAGGAGGAGTGGCCGCGAGGACGAGAGAGAAGCAGGGAGAGGGAGAGGGAGAGGGTGGGATCACGAGGGCATTACTCGCCTTCACGGAGATCCTCGCCGCACGTGATCCACGGGTCAGCGTTGACGGACGAGCGGGACAGGCTGTTGCTGGCGGGGATCGACAGGTCTCGGGAGCCAGGGGCATCGGGGTCGGGTTCGACTGAGGAAGCGGGGTCGCACAGGGGGAGGTCGATGGAGGGTGGCCACGAAGGGAGAAGAGCGCAACACCACGAGGGGCGAAGGCAGGAGGGAGAGAGCCACGCGGGGAAGGGGGAGGAGTTGACGGGCAGATCACGAGCACAGAGCAAGGACGAGGGAGGGAGGGGCGGCGATGGGAAGGAGTCGAGAGCGGAGAGCGAGCGGCGCAGCGCGTCGAGGGGCGGGAGTCGGAGAGAGAGCCAGAAGCCCGGAGGCGAGAGCAAACACAGCAGCAGCCGGGAGGGCGAGGACGACGTAGCTCCGAGGCGGCGGAGACCATCGTAGGGCGGAAAGCAGGAAGAGGGAGGGAATGCGTGGGAGACGATCGGGGAAGGGGGTTGCAGGAGCGTGTGGAGGAGAAGAGTGGACAATGGTGTTGGTGGGGTTCGCCACAGTTTTGGTCGCAAGTGGCAGGCGAGGACGCGCAGGGAGGGTGGCGTGAGCGTGCACATCCACAGGGATATGGGTGGGGTTGGTGATGGCAAGAAGTCGGCGGAGTCGGGTTGGACAACGAAGGCGTGAAGCGAGGCGGAGATAGTTGGGGCAGGCCGAGGAATGAAGGCGGCCACGGTGCAGTGGCACCGACGACGTAAGAAGTCGAAGTGTAATGACATTGACTGGAAAAGAAGAGCTTGAAGCTCCCCGGATGTTTTGTGAGCATGGCGTGCATTTGTGTGAAGGGGCGGTAGGAATGGTTGAGGGATGTGATTGATGGAGAGTGCGCGAATGGATTTGTGGTTGCGGGGGTGGTGTGGGTGGAAATGGGTTGTTGGGAGTGCGAGGGGTGTGTGGTGATGATACGGGAGGGCGGGACGGAGGCGCGGATTGAGATGTACATGGGATTCCCGATCGGGACGAAACCCGGGGGCCCATTCACTGGTGGCAATTTGGTAGTTCGTGGCTGGCAGCGGAATGTATGGATGTGGTCTTGAATTTGGGCTTGCGTATGAGGATTTGTCCGGACGTTCGATGCGCGTTGACATGAATGGTTTGGAGAGAGGGTTGCTCTAACAAGTGGTGGAGCTTGTGACAGTTTTTCGGTGTTGGGGAAGATGGGGTTCTAGTTTTTTTTTGTTTTTGGTTCTTTTAGATCGTGTGGGTTACATCCACCGGAACTGTAGTGTCACAAGAGTTAACGATATGGACTTGATATTCACAGGGAGTGCTCTTTGCGAGATATGTTTAGTATTGCTTGGAAAGCGGTGTTTGTTGTTGTTATGGCCGTTGTTGTTGAAGGACGGTTTCTCTCTTTTTTCATTGTGTAGACCCGATAGGTTTTGTTGCGATGGTGGGAAATTGATTTAGGTGCAGTGTTTCGCTAGTGCGGAGTGAGTATTCCTTGGTTATATGGTTGTAGTGTACAATGTGTTTCGCGGGAATTTGTTATGAGACTTCAGCCTTTATAGTGGGATTGTTGATTCCAAGGTTATTGTGGCGAATGCATGTGCTCTTTTGTGAATGTGGTGTTGACAAAGTTAATATCAGTTTTCCTCGTGTCGGTGTCGAAGCTGGTGCAGGAGGTATTAGTGATGCATTGAATTATTTTGAACGTACGTGAAGTGTGATTCTATCGAGTATGCCATGATCGCAGCTTTGGAACTCTTGGTCTTTGGCAGGGTTGTTGGCGTTGGACTACTTGTTATAAGCATAGGCACATGATATATGTGGTTTCAAATCCGGGTAAAGTTTTGAAGAGGGGAGTTTATTATGAAATATTTTCTGACTGGATCTGTACTCCACATATATCGAAAATACTAGCATGTAAATGCTTTCTTTACTCTGATGAGAACTATTTCGTAAACATGGAAACAGCTGTTGTTGGTTTGATATATCTGACACGTGTATTTTATAAAAATTTCACATTATATGTATGGACAATAAAACTCATGGTTGGACCATTTGACACTGAGAAGCTTGTGAATTGAAAAATTCTCAATTATTTAAGGAAAGTTTTTTGCAAGCGAATGTGTTGATCGAGAAATTTCGCCATGCATTTGTATGGAACATGTGACAAATATATCCATTTCAAATTTAAGTGACTGATGTAGCAGGTCAAGTGAAAATAAAGTAATAGGCAGACTTGTACTCAACAGTAATCTGCCAAACGAACTATGTACATCTCCTTTCCGGGAAAGTTCACCATCCTCGTCACATTTCATAAAGCGATGTATCAACTTTGGGGAATTCTGTTTTGGAGTACGCTTTTACAACTACCACATTTACAGTAGATAGAGACAGATGTGGTACATCGCAACTAGATAGACTGCCGTTGCAAATTGTGCACCACAAGGTCTCGATACATAAAATCCCTCCGTTCTTCATTTTCACCCACTTTGTTGGCTAGATTGTATACAACAAAAAATTTAGGGGATGGACAACTGATATCAACAATACCCAGATGCCTGACGCAAGGATTTAACTGTCAACATTGTGATTAACTTCTATGAATAGCCTTAAACAAAGCAGAAATGCCTTCAACCACCATATCTGAATACAGTGGTCTTTGATCCTGGACTGGATCAACAATGACATAGCAAATTTGAAGGATCTGGAGTGTTAGGAGAACTGACAAGCTCAGTCGGGAAAGAGATACTGAAGCGAGAATTTACATCACGATCGAGCGTGATTGCATATGACGCACACAATGGAAGACGCGGCTGTGGTATTGGCGTACGTGCAATGCTCACAAGACCAGTGAGTTGACTCCTCTCCGCTCCGACTAGAACCCCCACTTTTGGAACTTCCCACTTTAGGCCTGCCCCCTCGCCCTTTGGAACTTCCTGAAGCCTTCGAGCTGCTGCTGGACTTAGCAGCTGCTTTTGGAATATCCACGTCCGAAAGATTGTTCTCTAGGGCGCGAACCAGGTTCTCGAAGTATGTCTTTGTCACACTGGAAGGATTCAAATATCCGCTAAATGTCAGCTGCTGTATAAAATGAAAAGCCCGAACTGTGACCGTCAATAACTTCAGCTCAATAGCTGATGAAACATTATTATGAAGGAACTATTTCCTTGGTTCCAGAACAAGCACCTGGTCAGGCCAGCAAGCTTGGTGCGGAAGTCATTGAATGAGCTGGTTGGAGTGCCTCCAAGAAAGGTTAGCAAATCCTTCTCCGCACACTGGTGGAGGCGCTCTAAACCAGCTTCGGCCTCACCTTGCGAGTATTCAAAGAATTGTCTTTTCGTGTGCTCATTCTCAGGTAAGTAATATCCATAAGCATATGTCCACTTCAATACACGCCGGCATTCTACAATCTGCACAACAAAAAAACGATTAAAAGGAATACAGTTTGTGATTGTGGATAATGATGCTTCCGAGAAAAATGCTCCAAATGAATGTTCCACACTCCATACTCCGCATTATATGCAATAAATAACGTAATTAAGACAAAGGATATCCAGCAAGCGCAAAAATAACATGTCCACGCACAAAGTGTATTAACCTGGAGCCATGCATCTGTTACAAATTTCAGCTGCGACACTGGTTGGCATTGAGTGACGCTCAGCTTTTCAATCTGCACGTTCTGCATATCTTGAAGATCTGCAAGCGCCTTTGCCCTGGACTGCACACATCAGAAGGATTTGAGTAAGATTGAAATGATGAAAAACATCACATTAAATTAACCAGGTAGTCAATGCATCTCTAGTGTGTTATGGGAAAAAGATTATATAACTAACGTAGTGGAAGAAGTGCACCATCTCAAATTAGTACTCACAGATTCGTTTGTAGCCCAACGCTCATAATAGTGTGTGTAACGTTCAAGGGAGTTCTTCGCCATTTCCCTTCTCCGCTCTGCTTCATCATACTGGAAGAATGAACTGTAGCAGTTAGCTCAAATTCAAGGACTTTGAAAGAATTCTGTCACCTAGAATATGGCTAGGACCTGTTGCAAAGTATGACCAGCTATTTTATATGACTCGAAATATGTATGTGTGTGTGTGTGTGTGTTCTGTATGTGTGAAGCCATTAATCCACTCCCAAAATGATTTTCATGAACAGTGATAAATGCCCTCCCCGTTAATCATAGCTACGGACAAGCCTACGTACCACGCCTTCTTGCTTCGCGGTTTCATACCGATTGCATGCATAGAAACCACCCGTCCTTTCCCCATGATCAGTCCATGCTCCAAGGCAAAGCCTGTCAAAAACGCATAAATAAAACTGAGTGAATAAATTTGGTTGCTTATAAGTGATAGACTTACCAACCACTGGTGTCAACATACTCAGAGTGAAGCAACGTAAACTTAAGTAGCTGTGTCTATAAAATTAAGGTAAGAATGAATCATGATCCATCCATGACTTTAGATTCAATTGAAATTATCCATTACTTACCAGCAAAACTCAAATTTGCAAGGTGGTGTGCAAGTAATGTGCATGCAGCCTTGATTCTTTTCGATTGGCCTTTTACATTTGGGACAGGGTTTGCTGTTCGCAAGAATCCTGTTCAAAAAAATTGATAAAAAAGGGAACACAATATGAATAAAGGATGAGTTATTCTCTAAGAAAAAAGTCGACAGAATATCAGCTCGAACGCATATTTAGAGTTAAAATAACCAATAACCTCACAAAATCATTTCAAATCCCTGTAAATCAATTTGTTAGAAATCCGAAGTGGATTCTAATCCTGACATAAGAAACAAAATAAAATTAGGTATGCTGTGACACAGATCGTACCAGTTCATGTTCTCCGACTCTGCACAATTTTTCAATATCCATTTATTGACTGTCTCACAATCCACGGGCCGGTGTGCCTCTTCTCGACACTGGAGAGAAAAACACCCATAATAAATTATCTATCATCCTGTAAAATCCACGAATTGCTATTGTCTACTTTTGAGCAAACACCATAGAAGACGGACCTCAACAAAAAATACTCACATTCCAGCAGAAGTTAAATCCACACTTGCAGACAAGGTCATAGGAACCAACGCCAGGTTGAAATTCCACAGCATATTCACAGCCAGGTGCTGGGCACCACTTGACCTGCTAAATCACATTACGCAACCTTCATGTCAGACCATTACCCTTACTAACAAGCTTCTGCCAGCATGAAACATAAAAATAATTACACGGATGCACAATGAAGGCCAACATTCTATTCCATGCGTGAGAACGAAGCAAGAAGGATCGGAATTTGAGGCAGACTAGATTGTTAACCTTTCGGTTGTCCTCCACGTAAGATCTTAATAGATAACGCATGTACTTCTGTTGATCATCCGTCGAGACTAAACTTAGTACCATATCTTCTCCAATGGCTGAGCCACAGGATGGATCCGCACATCGAAGAGTCAAACATCCAGGCCCATCATTAATAGCTGTGTGTATGTAACCTGAACCCAATCCAGTTAAGAAGAAACCATCCCCATGTCAGGTCGGGATGTTATTAGCCGCAATAGAATCTGTCTATCCCAGTTTACCAAACACTAAACACTGCAAGTTATACAAAAAAGATGCGAACAGCTAGAACTGACCACAAACTTGACCAAATTCAGTAATCCTACATCTGGAAATTACCGAAAACATTCAGTTTAATTTATTTATCGCAGAAAACAATACATTCAACGTCAAGATGTACAAAATCTATCGCTATTCAGATCAAACTAGAACTGTGAGAAGATGCAGTCAAGCAGCAGGAAACTAGGTGGGCATTCTGCAAATGAACAAGCTTTCAAAAAACTGAATACTTCTAAGTAATGGTGCGCCAATACCTGACCTGTCCAACAGGTCTCACAGAAATAGTGACCGCATCTAGGTGCCCTCATTTTTTCAAACGGATGCACCTCAAAACATATCTCGCAAGTCATCTGTCAAAAGCATTAGTCAGAAATTTGTAGCAGTCCTGAGGACGAAATAGGCAAAGAAAAATAGGAAGGTCAAATTTCCCCCAAGAAATGGCTATAGTACTAGAGTACCTCTGTTTGAGTTTGTCTTTTGCTGGTAGCGGGTTTCTCCAGTAAACCGACGCTTGCGCGCACTCGTTCCTCATCCGCAAACCACTCGTCATTCACTTTACTCACACTCCTGATCATAAACAAGCGTGACTTTTCAACATGTGTACGTTAATCCAATACGATTACTGGCAACAACAGACTGCTTATTCTTCCGCTACGTTGCGATTTAACAAAAATACCAAAACACAAAACACAAAAACTAGTTGCTTGCATTGCAAATACAAGAATACAAAAGAGCAACCTAAAGTGTTAAAAAAAAATCTGATAACAAGACTAGGGAACGCAAGTACTCAATTACAGAAGTCTCGATATGACAATTAATAAAACAAAATAAAGAACGAATGTTACCACTTAAAGTGCCGAAGCAGAACCCCGGCATCCGCTGGAGATATAGACAAGAAATTAGTGATAGTTGATACGGCTTCGTCTTGTCGTTGCCGTATATCTTTCTCACTAAGGATTGTGAAGTTAGTCTGCAATAAAATATAAAGGAGAGGACATTTAAAGGCTCCTTTCAAAATCTTGAAGACGATCCTAGACAACATATGCATTGAATTCCTTGCACGCAACAATCAAACCCACAAGCATTGCAAAACCTACCTGTCCAAGAGCCAGAAGAAGAGTAACGTAGGGAGAGTACCTGGGGTAGCCGAGAACTAGGGTGAAGGTCGTCCACGTTCGAGTAATCAAAACCATAATCCGATTCATCATTGTCGTCATCACTAGCTAAAGCATCTGATTCCTCATCTTCCTCTTCGTTTACAAACTCACCATCTGATGTACCAGCCCATGCATCTTGCATTTCGTCCTCAGACTCCATGTCTCAACTCAGTAGGAAATACTCTTCGAGGAGTAGCAAGGAAGGGAGGAGGACCAAAATTGTCACCTGGAGCATCTAAGCGAGTTGAAGTCAACAGGATAGAGGAACTTAAAACAACGAAAAATAAGATCATAAAACACGTGGCGTCAAGACCAAATGCTGATTTGACCAAACACAGACATAGATTGAAGTAGAACACATTTTCAGAAGGTAAAAAAGTCAAAACCTTGACAAAGATCAATTTACCACAGCGAAACAAATTCACATAATCAAACATTCTGCAGCAGGTCGGCACACACAAAGTAGAGAAGATAAATGAGATAGATGCACCAGAAGGGAGTGCCACAATCAACAGACTGCACTGAAAATTCTCTTTCTCTTTCTCTGGCCCTAAACAAAACACAATTGCAACTTCCAAATATGTTCATAATGAAATACCTACTGGAAAAGAGTGGCAATTGTCATACCGACAGCCAAAAGGATCCCAACGGGTCTCTCATCTACAACCCAGCAGGAAAGCACACAAGAAGGCTACCAATTGCTTGCACAATTCATGATGAGTGTAAAATACTCCAAGCAAGGGATTAGAACAGAACTATGTAACCCTAATAACCCAAAACACAATCAGGTGCTTATGCACTAAGGGTGCAGCAGCACAGCAAGAGATCGTACAAAAAGCGGTTGTCCCTCAGTGGAACAATACAGAATTCCCAACAAGCTCACACACAAACCCTTGCTCCGACAACCGCCCTGAATTAGCGAAACTCCAGCCCAAAGCAGGAAATCTCCCTACCCCACACACCACAACACAAAACCTCCACAATCTATCTAACCTTCTCTTTCAAAAAAGGCAGAAAAATCGCAAATCGCAGGAAACCCTTTTCACAAAAAAAATTCACCACAAAATCAAACAATCTCCTCCACCACAATAATACACACCACCATCCATACCTTGTCTTCTTCTTTTACGCGACCACGATGACCAATACCATCACCACCACTCGGGCACTACCACTGCGTGCCACTCAAGCCTAAACCACAATCTGCTCACAACCCTCGATCTCTCCCCTAAACCACCCACCCCTCTCAACACCCACACACCCTTACACCCTCAAATTACACACACACACAGACAGAAAGACACATGCTTGTCGGCACATGCGCATCCTCCCACATCTCGTTCTCCCACTCCAAAAGGCAGCAGTGAGGGGTGACGACAAAAGAAGGAAGAATCGGCAGTGACGAAGGGCAAGTGTCTGTGTCTATGGAGCCATGAATCTCTACACAGGATGAAATGAGATGCGCTGGAGTGGGATTTCTAAGATGAAACCCAGGCAAGCAAGCGAGGAAGTGTGACAAAAACAGCAGTGTACGTCACAGGATTAGGGGGAGGAGCTCGCAATAAGGCTTCGAGGCTGCCTGGTCGTATGACTAGTAAGTCACCCATGAGGTTTCTTCTCGTCCTCCCCCTCCTCTTCCTTTCTTCTTTCGGTCTTTTTTTTCTTTCTTCCCTTATGTTACTTCTTCTTCTGCAAACTCTTCATTTTCTTCTTCTTATTCTTCTTATTCTTCTTATTCTTCTTCTTCTTATTCTTCTTCTTCTTATTCTTAAAATGATGCTGGTGTTCCTAATTCTCCTTCGACGTTGTTGAATTTGTGGGGTGTCTTGTGGCGCTCTGCGTTGTGCTCGTCCTGCTGTCGCCGAATGAACGATCGTCCACGTCACGAGATGTGGGGTTGCTCCTCTCACGCCGCTTGGCCTCCTTCGCGTCACGTTGCGGGCCACGCTGAGGCGGGCCTCGCTGCCCCTCGCCCCTGCGCCGCTTTCACACGGCTGCCTCCACTTGGCTCCATCCTCTCCACATCTTTCAATATTATGTCTAATTACAACATTCATTTTTTTTTGTTTGTTTTTATTTTTTATTTTGAAGATGGTAGTTTATAATTAATGAATTTCAAGTTTTGAAGTCACATACACACACACACACACACATATATATATATATATATATATTATTTAATTGTTAAATCATTCACTAAATTGACCTAACCATCATCAAAAAAATAGATTATTTCAAGATTTAGGTCTCTATTGTTGAATTTGCAACCAATGAAAAAATGATTAGTCAATTTTCATCATGGTTATAATCATGGCCATGATTGTATAAGACAATACATGTAATTATTTGAAAAGGAGTAAAAAAAAAAAAAAAAAAAAAAAAACTATTCAAACATATAGTATAATCAATATTTACATTAGTATCTCGTTTCAAACATAAACACTTTTAAGCAATTACAATTTTCTTGCTTTATCTTACTCAAAAAAATGCCAACTATATAATCTTATTATAAAGACAAACTTCTTATAATTATAACAATGTAGATGTAAAAATACATGTATAAGACAAAATATCAATCAAAATGTATTTAAAAAGACATTAAATAATAACCAAGAAGAATTTTAAGATCTTGGCTTTAATGCCACAATGGCAACAATCAAAAATCTTATTGCAACATAGGATTTGGATTTGAAATTGTTTCATATAATGGTTCCAATTGCAAAAATAAGTCATAGAGATCTTAATAAATTCTAACAAGTTGATGAAGCCTCTTGTTAAGATCTTTAGAAGTTGGCAACATCTCAGCTTTTATATATAATGAATTGACAATAGTTTCAAATTATTTTTGAATTCAATCATAATTAGATATTTTAAACACTTGGTTTAATATCCTCTTATATTTAACTTATGTTGCAGCAACATGTAATGTCTACATGCCTTCCTTTCTCAAAATAAATTCCATAATTTAAAGTTACTACTACTTATTTGATAATAAGTAATTACAATTCAATATTGATTACTACACCTCCATACTTCAATCATGTGTGTACATATATAGTTGTAATATCTAAATTAACTAAATCAATAACTCTTTATATTTTTATCTTATTCAGAAGAATAAGGCCATCAATGGCAACAAGAGTAGCAATAATAAATTATTGATACACTATTATTATTCAAAATATTACTCAAATAAACTTGACAAGTATAGAATATGTAAATAAATTTTGTGGTAAGTTACTGGTTGGTTATTGACAACTTTGAGAATTAGACTTATAATTAGGCAATTTAGTTGGTAACAGTAGGTTGTTAGTGGAACAAATGGTCAAGAATTCAAAGGTTCATAACCTTTGGAATCTATTGGCCGACGGTCCATCTTTTGGTAGGATAAAGAGGTTGAGAAAAGGGAGATCGAGGCTAGACTGTGAGAGTCGTAAGCCGGGATAAGCTTGGTGCCACCTCTTTATTTTTTTTGCTTTTATTATTTGCTTATGAAGAATTGTGATTGAGAGAAGTATTGTGGAAACTGTGATTAAAATATTATAGAATATGACTTTGGACTGATCGTTTTGGAGAAAATCTGTGACCTTGAGAATTGAGATTATCAAATTATATTGTGTTAAATAAAGAAATTGAATTCTGTGTGATGAATTGAAAAATTGAATATAGTAAGTAAGTTGGAGATCAGTAATTGAATATATATAAACTGCAAAGAGAGTAAGTGGAAGATGAACTGATAAGAATATAGAAGTATTGTTGAATTGATAGTCATAGAATGGATTATGTGTTGAATTAAGACGGAAGTAGTAAGCCTTGGTGTTTTGTAGTTTGATAATTGATTTCAGATAGCTAGAGTACAGTCAATTGTGACACTAACAGACCTAATTCATATAACCAGTCTTTCCCCGTATTCGAATCCACCTCTATTAGTTCAATTGCTTTGGTATATTGAAGCTTGAATACAACGAGAACAAGAACAAGACTAGGTTGTCTTATTACTTTGCGCAAATACACAAATAAAAAAAATAGTGTAGAAAGTAATAATAGGAAGATTATATATATTTATTCAAAAGATTTTTATAAAAATATTCTTAAACATATTACAAACTTGAAATTTAATAAATTACAAGTACATAAAATAAAAGTATTATAAATATAAGGTGAATGTGAGCCAATTTGTAACAAAAATTTGTTTCTAATATTATTTGCATTAAATTCTTTAAAATTCTTTGTACAATCTCTATCTTGAAGAAAGAAAGCATTGCAAAGTGTTACTTTTTTAAAGTACTTTTCTAAGTTGCAAGCCTTGTAAGCAAAGATGAGAAAGAAAAAAGTCATTGTGAAGAGAAAGAAGAGACTTTATTATTAAAATAACAAGATATTAGTTATTAAAAGCTATGATCAATAATATTTGGAGGAAATTAAAATTTATTTGAATTATAATATATACAATTACAATCAAATATTCTTTAAAATATAATACACTCAACTTAATTAAAAAAATGAAAACTTTTACAATAGCTATCTCATCAAAATTATATTGTGTAAAATACATACTATTAAGCTTTAATGTCATTAATTCTTTCACATATCTTTATTCTATAAACCTGCATCATATATTATAAGTCAACAATTATTATAGATATACATAATTATTCTAATATTTACCTATATGATCAAATAGAAGTAAATAAAAGTAGATTTATTTTATAATACTTTTTTAGACAAGCTTTTTAGAAGCTTTACAGATGTTCATTTGATTTTATATCTGTTTATAATTCACTAATAGGCTAGAAACTTGGTCAATAAGTTAATCATTTCTTGGTAGCTTGTAGAATAAGTTAACTATGTGGTGCATATATAAAAAACTTGCCTTGTAAATTAAGATATATCTTTTGCAAAGTCAATATACTTTGGAGGTCTTATAAGACATCACTACATAGCTCCTAGTTAAAAGTATATATGTAAGCAAGAAAGAGGCCTTCTTCTTTCTTATCAATGCCTTTTTAATTCTTAGTCTTCTTTCAAGACTTTTTAGTCTTCTTTTCTTTGGAAATAGCTATTTTCATTCAATATATTATCATCATTGAGTGATATTCAAGTCTTTTTTAGTGAAACAAGAATATATTAATATTTTAATTCTTTAAAATTCTTGTCCTTAATAATTTGATAAGAGTGCTAATTCATTGTCCTTATCTTGTTTTAGAAGTAAGTAGATTACTTTCCTCTAATTTGACTTATAGATTTATTAAATTCCTTGAAATGGAAGGAAAAATTATGAATGCTTTACTTGGCAGAAATAAAAATAGATTTATAATTATTAAAAATCTTCACAAACTTGTCAACACTCTTAGAGTGAAAATTTTATGCATCACTAGTGTCAACTATAGAAATACTAATCCTATGCATATGGAAGAAGTTCACAATTTGCATCAAAAAATTATATAGTTGAAGGAAGCAAGTAGATCAATCTCACAACCAAATCTAGGAAGTTTTACTTCTACAAGAAAGATAGAAACAAAGATTAGTATGCCTAAGAAGTTTGATGGAGCAAGATCAAAGTTTTGAAGATTTTTGTAATAAATCAAGTTCTATCTAATATTAGATTTCTTCCAATACCTTAATGGATTTATTTAAGTTGGGTTCATAGATACATTTTCATCTAGAAGTATTCTCTCTTTGTTTTCACTTTTGATGGAAAAGGATGCATGACTTTTTTGTAATTTGAATTCATTCTTAGAAGTATTTACATCAATATTTAGAAAAAGTGATGAAAAAAGAGTAGCAAAGACCAAGATTTTATTTTTATAATAAGGATTACAATCAATCACCATATATACTGTTAAATTCCAAAACCTTGCTTATAATATAGACTTGAATGATAAAACTTTTATCAATCAGTTTTGGTATAGGTTGAAGGATAACGTCAAAAAATTTATTATTGTTAAATTTGAAAGCATAATCTTTCAAATAATTTATTGCTTAAGCCATTTCATGCAACAATTGATTATTTGAAAGGCATTAAAAACAAAGATTTGGCTGAAGAAGAACAAGTCAAGTAATAACAATAATTCCTAAGTTTTCAGAAACTTATTCATCAAAGTCAAAATCAATGCAAATTGATATGGTACATCTTAAACTTATTATTGAGTAATAAAAGACTTATCACTGTTAAGAAGGTTTATACTTATATTATGAAGAATCCAAGAACATTGCTCAAAATTGTCTAAAGAAATAACCCAATTACAAAATTAAGAGTATAGTTCTCAAAGAGAATAATGTATTGAAAAATAAGTTTTTCTAAGTATAATAGGAACCATGTAATTGGAATCTTAAGTAAGTTTAATAAAGATCATATTTTTTAAAAAAAATTCTTTACTTTATTTTACAATAGAAGTTTGTTTAAGATCAAAAAATTACAAAGTCTCAACTTTATTAGATTTAAGAGCCTCAACTTCTTTTATAGAAAAAGACTTTGTCAAAAAATAAGCTATATTTTTAAATAATAAAATCAAATTTATGCATGTAAAAATAATAGATGATTATTCATTGTCTTTTGAAAATGTTATATATAAAATTATTCTTGTAGAAGTAGCAACTAGTGGTAATAATAATTTAGTAATATTTAATGTTACTAGATCTTTTTCTAATATAATTATTTTAGAATTATCATGAT